AATGTATTACTGTAATATCTTATGGCTTATGGTTCAGAATCTCCCCATACAAATTCTCTGGTTCTACTTACCTGGTACTTATGCTAGACCCATAACTTTCTTGTTTCTTATATTTTTTGTTTTATAGTTTATGAAGTATTAATTATGTGAGCTGTTGTGTGATTATAAGAAAAATTTTAATGAAATTAGCCAATGGCCAGGCCTGGGGCTCACACCTGTAATTCCAGCACTTTGGGATGCCGTGATGGGTGGATCGCCTGAGGTCAGGAGTTTGAGATTTGCCTGGCCAAATGGTGAAACCTCATCTCTACTAAAGATACAAAAATTAGCCACATGTAGTGGTGCACACCTGTAATGCCAGCTATTGGGGAGGCTGGGGCAGGAGAATAGCTTTAACCCAGGAGACAGAGGTTGCAGTGAGCCAAGATTGCACCACTGCACTCCAGACTGGGTGATAGAGGAAGACTCAGTGTAAAGAAAAAGAAAGAAATTTACTTATGTATACAGAATAATTATAGCTGTAATTCCAAAATTAATGTATTAAATTTTATTTAGTTCAAACATTTCACTTCAACCCTATATAAACCTAGTTTTTTTAAGTGATTGTTTTTTCAAGTTTTAAAATGAACATAAGTAAATTGATTTATTGATTGTGCCAATTTTTTTAGGTAATTTCTAGGGAAGCTTCATAAATCATGAGAATGTTTATATAATAAATTTAGCAGTGCTTGCTGTGTAACAGATGCTCCATAATAAGGCATAAATATTCCTGTTAAATTTAGTTTGTAACTTCAAGTCAGAGGCAGAAAAGATCAAAGGTAAACAATTAACATTGAGTCTTCATGTGGAGAGGACCATTTTTCAGGCTGCAAAGCTGAATTTTGCTGAATTTAAAAAGAAATTCTTATTTATTTCCTAATTCTTAAGTTTTGTTTGTCTTTTTATGTGTATTCCAGCCATGTGTGCACCATAGTCCTTCTTTTCCTGTGTTATGCCTACAGATTTCTCACTATTTTCTTCATGCCATGCCATTTTACATGGTATTTTGAGGGTTTTGATGTTAACTTTGGTATTTTTTAATGCCCTGAAAAACTGTTTTCACCTGGAGAGTTTGCTTATCAATATGACTTTCAGATCAGTTAATTATGATAAAAGCATACACTGTCCACGTGCAAGAAGGACTGCATGGTGCTTTATTGTTTGCAAAAAGAAGGTCTTACTAGATTCTTACCAGAAGGGTGATAAATATAAAATTTTCTAGGAAATATAGAAGTTGAAATTTTAAGAGAGTTTATGGTAAGTGAACCATATTAAATTAATTTTTTTAAGATGAAGCCTTGGTCTGTCACTCAGGCTGGAGTGCAGTGGCATAATCTGGGCTTACTGCAACCTACATCTCCCAGGTTCCAGCAATTCTTTTGCCTCAGCCTCCTGAGTTGCTGGAATTACAAGCACCAGCCATCATGCCTGGCTAATTTTGTATTTTTGTAGAGATGGGGTTTCACCATGTTGGGCAGGCTGGTCTTGAACTCCTGACCTCAGGGGATCCACCTGCCTCAACCTCCCAAAGTGCCGGATAACAGGTGTGAGCCACTGTTCCCAGCCTAAATTTAATTTTTTACTATATAGCACAACGCACATTTCCAGGCCAAGTCGTCTGTTTTTAAATGTGAAAGTGAGTGGTTGCAAAACAATTCAATGACCTCTGCAGATTTGGAATCATATTTCTTTTCCAAATTGGTACTCCAATTTTGAGAAATTGCTCTTATTTTTTTAAAGTTTTTTAGTGGGTGAAGGTTAGTCTACAGTTTTTATTCTTAGACACCTAAGTGTATCCTCAATTATTTTCTCTGGAAAACTTTTAGAAATCAACGCAGCCTTTGGATTAAAACTTTTTTTGTTATTTTTCATGTGAATTAGTTTTCAGTGTTCATAGAGTGGCCAGTCATGGGACCATAAGTAACACTTGCTCTTTTAGTGTCTTTCATACCATTACTGTCAGCACCAGAAACTCCAGGTGCCCCAAGCTTAAAAAGGGACTAAAGTCCATTCGCTCCTCCCATGCACTGAGTTGGGTTTGAAACATGCTGACAAGTATCAAAGTTCCTATGGTTATGACTGACACACGACAAAAACGGCACAAAGACTATTTCTTATACTGTTCAGCCAAGTTTATGACAAAGACAAACATTATTTGAAATACTGTTATTTTTTTATAAGGTTTTAAAAATATATTCTCTAACTTGAAAGATAAATTTATTTTTTTCTGTAAAACAACATTTTGAAGTATATACATGCGATCAAAGGCTTAGCTCTAGGTAATTAATGCTTTATCTCAAATAGTTAACACTTTTTTTGTGGTGAGATCACATAACATTGTGTTAGCATTTTTCAGACAACAAATGCAATATTATAAACTATAGTCACAATGCTGTAGAATCTTGAACTTATTCCTCCTATCCAGCTATAATTATGTATTCTTCAACAGGCATCTTTCCAATTCTCCAATTTTTCTAAATACCTTGGCATCTATTAGTCACCGTTCTGCTCTCTACATCAGTGAGATTGTTTTTTAGAATCCATGTGTAAGTGAAATCATGAGATACTAATCTTTCTGTGACTGACTTATTTCAGCTATGACTTATTTCAGCTGATGTTCTTCAGGTTAATCCATGTGATAGGAAATAATAGAATTTTCTAAATATAAATAGTATTTCATTGGGTATATATACCATATTGTCTTTATTTACTCATTAGATGTTGAACTGTTGACTGTATAATTTGGCTGTTCTGAAGAGTGCTGCAAATAACATAGAAGTGTGGATATTTATTCTGATTTTGTTCTGGATATGTATCCAATAGTAAATTTGTTATATACTAGTTTGATTTTAAGGGTTTTTATTTTTTAGTAACCTGTTTAGTTATGCATAATGGCTGTCCTCATTTTCATTCAAACCAAAAATGTAGAAGCATTTTCTTTTATTCACATCCTTACCAACTAATACTTTTTTATTTTATTTATTTATTTATTTTTGTGACAGAGTCTTGCTCTGTCACCCAGGCTAGAGTGCCATGATGTGATCTTAGCTCACTGCAACCTCCACCTCCTGGGTTCAAGCTATTCACTTGCCTGAACCTCCCGATTAGTTGGGATTACAGGTCCCGCCACCACGCTCAGCTAGTTTTTTGTATTTTTAGTAGGGATGGGTTTTTGCCATGTTGGCCAGGCTGGTTTCAAACTCCTGATCCACCTCCCTTGGCTTCCCAAAGTGCTGGGATTACAACCATAAGCCACTGCACCCAACCTTTTTTGTTTTTGTTTTTGTGAGAGTCATTCTAACAAGTGAGTTGAGGTATCATAGTTTTTTTTGCTTGCTTTCCCTATTAAGAATTGACATTCAACCTTTTTTAATATATCTGTTTGTCACATGTATGTATTCTCTTGAAAAATGTGCTTTTTGCTCATTTTTAGTAGTTACTTGTTTATTGTTGTATAGTCATTTAAGTTTCTTACATATTTTTGATATTAACCACTTGTCCCATATTTAAGTTATGCTATTGATTGCATTATTTAGTTATCCTGTTGATGTACAATATTCTGTGCATCAGCATTTTAGTTTCAAGTATTCTGACTCTTATTTTTTCTTTTGTTCCCTGGGATTTTGAGGTTAAATAAAAAGAGTCACTGCCTAACCAAAATTATGAAACTTGCTCACTTTGTTTTTGTTTTTGTAGTAGTAGTTTCAGAGTCTCCAGCCCACATTTATGCATCTAATTTATTTTGAGTGGATTTTTATATGTGGTGTGAGTTGAGGGTCTCTTTTTATTACTCTGCATGTGTCCATAAAATTTTGTCAACAGCATTTACTGTTTTTTGCCTAAGAAATTGTCACATTCATTTAAAATCAGTTAGTTGTAACTACATGACTATATTTCTAATATCTGTTTTCTACTCCATTGGCCCAGTATCTGTTTTTATTGAATTACCATTCTGTTTTTGTGACTACAGTTTTGTAGCATATTTCAAAGTCAGGTAGGGTGATAATTTCACTTTTTTCTGTTTGATGGCTTTGGCTATTTAGGGTCTTTTGTGGTACCATATAAATTGTAAATCTGTTGTTAAGATTTTTTTTTTTTTTTTTTTAAGACAGTATCTCACTTTGTTGCCAAGCTGCAGAGCAGAGGTATGATCGGGCTCCCTGCAACCTCAGCCTCCCGGGTGCAAGCATTTCTGCCACCTCAGTTCTGCCAAAGCAGATGAAACTGCAGGCACAAGACACCATGCCCAGCTATTTTTTGTATTTTCAGTAGAGATGTGGTTTCACTGTATTGGCCAAAATTATCTTGATCTCTTGACCTAGTGATCTGTCCACCTTGGCCTCCCAAAGTGCTTAAATTACAGGTGTAATCCACTGTGCCTGGCCTATTCTTAAAAATTTTTATCAAGTTTGCCACTGATATTTTCATTGAGGCTGCATTATACCTGTAGATCATTTTGTGTAATACAAATATTTAACAATATTAATAATGGGAGTTCATTAATGATTACTTTTTTGATGTATCAATATCTTTAATGTTTTTTAGAGTATAATGTAAGGTGCTTCAAATTTTTTGGTAAAATTTATTTCAAAGTATTGTTACTACAGTTATTGTAGATGGAATTGTTTTAAAATTTATTTTGAGATAATTGTTAGTTTATAGAAATACTACTGACAGGCCGAGAGCAGTGGCTCATCCCTGTAATCTCAGTACTTTGGGAGGCCGAGATGGACAGATCACGAGGTCAGGAGTTTAAGACCAGCCTGTCCAATACAGAGAAACCCTGTCTCTACTAACACTAAAAAATTCACCAGGCATGGTGGTGTGTGCCTGTAGTTCCAGCTGCTTGGTAGGCCATGGCAGGAGAATTGCATGAACCTGGGAGGCAGAGGTTGCAATGAGCCAAGAAAGTACAATTACACTCCAGCCTGGGTGACAGAGTGAGACTTCATCTCAAATAATAATAATAATTATTATGATAAATAGTACAAAGAAAACTGCTTATTCATATGCAGAAAAAAGTGGACCCCTGCCTTTTTCCATATAGAAAATGTAAGTCAAGATAGAGTAAAGATTTATCTGTGAGTCTTCAAGCTACAAAAATCCTAGAAAAACACTTAGAAAGTGCTCTTCTACACACTGGCCTCTGAAATAAAATTCTGAATAACATCTTAAAAGTGAGGCCGGGCGCGGTGGCTCAAGCCTGTAATCCCAGCACTTTGGGAGGCCGAGGCGGGTGGATCATGAGGTCAAGAGATCGAGACCATCCTGGTCAACATGATGAAACCCTGTCTCTACTAAAAAAATACAAAAAAAATTAGCTGGGCATGGTGGCGCGTGCCTGTAATCCCAGCTACTCAGGAGGCTGAGGCAGGAGAATTGCCTGAACCCAGGAGGCGGAGGTTGCGGTGAGCGGAGATCGCACCATTGCACTCCAGCCTGGGTAACATGAGTGAAACTCCGTCTCAAAAAAAAAAAAAAATCTTAAAAGTGAATGCAACAAAAATAAAAATCAAAACTTTGCATCTAATTAAACTCAAGAGCTTCTGCACAGCCAAAGAAACTATCAACAAATAAAACAGACACCCTACTATATGAAATAAAATATTTCCAAACTGCATACAAGTGATTAATACATAGAATCTATAAGAAATTTAATTTGAAATATCAGAAAAATAATATAGACACTTCTTAAAGGATGACATAAGTTGCCAATAAACATTCAAAAAATGCTTAACACCACAAACATCAGAGAGATGTAAATGAAAATGACAAGGTGATAACATTTCATACCAGGTAGAATGGCTGTTATTATAAGTCAAAAAATAACATTGAAGTTGTGGAGAAACAGGTATTACTGTAACTATTGGTGGGAATGCAAAAAAATTTAGCCCCTGTGGAAAGCAGTTTGGGAATTTCTCAAATAACTAAATTTAGAGTTGCCGTTTAACCCATTAGCTCCATCACTTTCAAAGGAGAATACTTTTTTTTTTTTTGCCAAAAGACACCTGCACTCACATATTTATCACAGTAAAATTCACAATTCCAAAAGACAGAATTAAACAGGGTGCCTATAAATCTTAGATTGGATGAGAAAAATGAGGTGCTTATACAGCATGCAATACGGTGCAGCCACAGAAAAGAATGACGAAATGTCCTTTGCTGCAACATGAATGCCGCAGAAGGCCATTAATGTAAGCAAATTGACACAGATCAGTGAAATAGATACCATACATTCTCACTTATATGTGGGAGGTAAATATTGGGTGCCGAAGAAAATAAAGATAAAAATAAACACTAAAAAGATGAAAATAAACATCTAAAAAGATGGAAGAAGGAAGGGAGACAAGCATTGAAAAGCTACTTTCAGGTGTGATGTTCACTATGTGGGCAATGGGATTATTAAGAATCCAAACATCAACGCCATGCAGAGGACCTATGCTGCTAATCTGCACATCTTCCCTGAACCTAAAATAGAAATGACAAGATGTCTTGTGGCATAATGACATTATTTCTTTAGTTCCAAGTTATTAGTTGGAATCAGTGGTGAAAGAGAGAATTATTTACTCCTTAAGGCATAATGGTAAAAGTTTCTGTACCAGGTCTCCCATGTTTTGGGTGCTATCTTCTCTGTAAGCTCTTGGCCTATAGCCCAAAGTGTGTTTTATTCTCAAGTGTGCAGTTAAAATAGATGACTCTACATCTGTATTTTTTATGTATTTACTATACACTAGACTATATCATTAATTGGTTACTCTTTTTGAGGAAAAGTAGTAGGTGATTTAATCATATTTTCTTAAGAATGAACCATTTTTGAAAACATGAGGCTGTGAAGATTATGCTAAATAATTAACAAAACATTTTTCTTTAAAAAAGCATAGAGGTTTTATGACAATAGCCCAAGAATGATGAAACAGCGTTAAGACCACATTGCTGCCGGGTGGAGTGGCTCACGCCTGTAATCCCAGCACTTTGGGAGGCCGAAGTGGGTGGATCATGAGGTCAAGAGATCAAGACCATCCTGGTCAACATGGTGAAACCCCGTCTCTACTAAAAATACAAAAGATTAGCTGGGCAGGGTGGCGCATGCCTGTAATCCCAGCTATTCAGGAGGCTGAGGCAGGAGAATTGCCTGAACCCAGGAGGCAGAGGTTGCAGTGAGCCGAGATCACGCCATTGCACTCCAGCCTGGGTAACAAGAGCAAAACTCCATCTAAAAAAAAAAAAAAAGACCACATTGCTGCAACCATTCCATCACAATCACTCTTGTGAAAAAATAATAATGGGTCAAAGGAATTTTTAAATACTTTTTTAAAAATTCTATCAAAGTGTTAAATATTTATTTGCTTCTTTTTAAATTATTTTTTTGACATGGAGTTTTGCTCTTGTGGCCCAGGCTGGAGTGCAATGGCACAATCTCAGCTCATTGCAACCTCCACCTCCCTGGTTGGCCAGACTGGTCTCCAACTCCTGACCTCAAGGGATATGCATGCCTCAGCCTCCTCAAGTGCTGGGATTAAAGACATCAGCCACTGCGGCCAGCCCAGAATTTTTTTTGAATGCCTTATATGCCTGTATATGGCTGGAAATATCTGTTTCTAGATTCTCCAAAGAAAGGGTTTCTGAACTGCTACATACACACATCAGTTTAACTCTGTACGTTGAATGTACACCTTGACAATCATTCTGCTAGATAGCTCCATTTTTGTTTTAGAACCAGTTATTTCTGATTACAGCATATACTCCCATTCACTCTGGAATATCCAAACGCAGCTTTTAGAAAAAATGTGTCTCTAACTCGCTGAATCTAACATAGATGCAACTTCCTAAGGTGAACGAACACACAGCAGAGCACTTTGAAATATACGTTTCTCCTGTGTTTAGATGCAGTCTTACTGCTAATTCTTATAAGCCTGTATATGGCTGGAAATATCTGTTTCTAGATTCTCCAAAGAAAGGGTTTCTGAAGTGCTACATACACACATCAGTTAAACTCTGTAAGTTGAATGTACATGCTGACAACCATTCTGTTAGATAGCTCCCTTTTGGTTTTAGAGAAAGATATTTCTCATTACAGCATATAGTCCCATTCACTCAGGAATATCCAAACGCAGCTTTGAGAAGAAACGTGTTTCTAACTCGCTGAATCTAAGCATAGATGCAACTTCCTAAGCTGAACTAACACAGCAGAGCAGTTTGAAATATACATTTCTCCAGTGTTTTAGACACAGTCTTACTGCTAATTCTCATATGCCTGTATATGGCTGGAAAAACTGTTTCTAGATTCTCCAAAGAAAGGGTTTCTGAACTGCCACATACACACATCACTTTAACTCTGTAACTTGAATATACACCTTCACTACCAGGCTGCTATATAGCTCCATTTTTGTTGTAGAGCCATATATTTCTCATTACAGCCTATACTCCCTTTCAATCTGGAATATCCAAATGCAGCTTTTAGAAGAAACGTTTTTCTTACTCGCTGAATATAAACATAGATGCAACTTCCTAAGGTGAACAAACACACAGCAGAGCAGTTTGAAATATACGTTTTTACTGTGTTTTAGATGCAGTCTCAGTGCTAAATCTTATATGCCTGTATATGGTTGGAAATATGTGTTTATGGATTCTCCAAAGAAAGGGTTTCTGAACTGCTACATACACACATGAGTTTAACTCTGTAAGTTGAATGTACACCTTGACAACCATTCTGCTAGATAGCTCCGTTTTGGTTTTAGAGCCAGATATTTCGCATTGCACCCTATACTCCCATTCACACTGGAATATCCAAATGCAGCTTTGAGAAGAAACGTGTTTCTAACTCGCTTAATCTAAACACAGATACAACTCCCTTACATGAACGAACACGAAGCAGAGCAGTTTGAAAGATGAATTTTTTTGGTGTTTTAAATGCAGTCTTACTGCTAATTCTTATATGCCTGGATTTTGCTGGAAATATGTGTTTTTCGATTCTCCAAAGAAGGGTTTCTGAACTGCTACATACACACATCAGTTTAAGTCTGTAAGTTGAATGCACATATTGACAACCATTCTGCTAGATAGCCCCGTTTTTTATTTAGAGCCAGATATTTCTCATTACATGATATACTCCCATTCACTCTGAAATATCCAAACGCAGCTTTTAGAAGAAACATATTTCTAACTCGCGGAATCTAAACATAGATGCAACTTCCTAAGGTGAACGAACAAACAGCAGAGCAGTTTGAAATGTATATGTTTCTCCTGTGTTTTAGACGCAGTCTTACTGCTAATTCATATATGCCTGTATGTGGCTGGAAACATCTGTTTCTAGATTCTCCAAAGAAAGGGTTTCTGAAGTGCTACATACACGCATCAGTTTACCTCTGTAAGTTGAAGGTACACCTTGACAACAATTCTGCTAGACAGCTCCATTTTTGTTTTAGAGCCAGATATTTCTCATTACAGCATATACTCCCTTTCACTCTGGAATATCCAAACGCAGCTTTTAGAAGTAACGTGATTCTAACTGCCTGAATCTAAACATAGATGCAACTTCCTAAGGTGAACGAACACACAGCGGAGCAGTTTGAAATGTATGTTTCTCCTGTGTTTTAGACGCAGGCTAATTCTCGCATGCCTCTATACGGCTGGAAATATCTGCTTCTGGATTCTCCAAAGAAAGGGTTTCTGAACTGCTACATGCACACATCAGTTTAACTCTGTCAGTTGAATGTACACCTTGAAAACCATTCTGCTAGATTGCTCATTTTTTGTTTTTCAGCCAGATATTTCTCCTTACACAATATACTCCCATTCACTCTGGAGTATCCAAACGCAGCTTTTGGAAGAACCGTGTTTCTACCTCACTGAATCTAAACATAGATGCAACATCCTAAGGTGAACGAAAACACAGTAGAGCAGTGTGAAATATAGGTTTCTCCTGTTTTTTTAGACGCAGTCTTACTGCTAATTCTTTTATGCCTATATATGGCTGGAAATATGTTTCTAGATTCTCCAAAGAAAGGGTTTCTGAACTGCTACATACACATATCAATTTAACTCTGTAAGTTGAATGTACACCTTGACAACCATTGTGCTAGATAGCTGCGTTTTTGTTTTAGAGCCAGATATTTCTCATTACAGCATATACTCCCATTCAGCCTGGAATATCGAAATGCAGCTTTTAGAAGAAACGTATTTCTAACTCGCTGAATCTAAACATAGATGTAACTTCCTAACGTGAATGAACACACAGCAGAGTAGTTTGAAATATTCGTTTCTCCTGTGTTTTAGAAGCAATCTTACTGCTAATTCTTATATGCCTGTATATGGCTGTAAATATCTGTTTCTAGATTCTCCAAAGAAAGGGTTTGTGAACTGCTACATACACAGAACAGTTTAATTCTGAAAGTTGAACATACTCCTTGACAACCAGTCTGCTAGATAGCTCCATTTTTGTTTTAGAGCCACATATTTCTCATCATAGCATATACTCCCATTCACTCTGCAATATCCAAATGCAGCTTTTAGAAGAATCATGTTTGTAATTCACTGAATCTAAACATAGATGCAACTTCCTAAGGTGAACGAAAACACAGCAGAGCAGTTTGAAATATACATTTCTCCTGTGTTTTAGACGCAGTCCTACTGCTAATTCTTATATATCTGAATATGGCTGGAAATATCTGTTTCTAGATTCTCCATAGAAAGGATTTCTGAACTGCTACATACACACATCAGTTTAACTCTGTAAGTTGAATATACACCTTGACAACCATTCTGGTACATAGTTCTGTTTTTGTTTTAGAGCCACATATTTCTCAATACAGCCTATACTCCGATTCACTCTGGAATATCCAAATGCACCTTTTAGAAGAAATGTGTTTCTAACTCGGTGAATCTAAGCATAGATGCAACTTCCTAAGGTGAACGAACACACAGCAGAGCAATTTGAAATATACGTTTCTCCTGTGTTTTAGACGCAGTCTTACTGCTAATCCTCACATGCCTGTATATGGCTGGAAATATCTGTTTCTGATTCTTCAAAGAAAGGATTTCTGAACTGCCACATCACACATCAGTTTATCTCTGTAAGATGAATGTACACCTTGAGAACCTATCTGCTAGATGGCTCCGTTTTTATTTTAGAGCCATATATTTCTAATTACAGCATACACTAAAATTCACTCTGGAATATCCAAACGCGGCTTTTAAAAGAAACGTGTTTCTCACTCCCTGAATCTAAACATATATTCAACTTCCTAAGGTGAATGAAAACACAGCAGAGTAGTTTGAGATATACGTTTCTCCTGTGTTTTAGACGCAGTCTTACTGCTAATTCTCATATGCCTGTATATGGCTGGAAATGTCTGTTTCTGGATTCTCCAAAGAAAGGGTTTCTGAACTGCTACATACACACATCAGTTTAACTCTGTAAGTTGAATGTACACCTTGACAACCATTCTTCTACATAGATCCCTTTTTGTTTTAGAGCCAGATATTTCTCATTACACCGTATACTCCCATTCACTCTGGAATATCAAAATGCAGCTTTTAAAAGAAACATGTTTCTATCTCGCTGAATCTAAGCATAGAGGCAACTTCCTATGGTGAATGAACACACAGCAGAACAGTCTGAAATACACATTTCTCCTGTGTTTTAGATGCAGTCTTACTGCTAATTTTTATATGCTTGCATATGGCTGGAAATATCTCTTTCTAGATTCTCCAAAGGAAGGGTTTCTGAACTCTTACATGCACACATCTCTTTAACTCTGTAATTTGAATATACATCTTGACAAGCAATCTGCTAGACAGCTCTGTTGTTGTTTTAGACCAGATATTTCTCATTACAGCCTATACTCTCTCCCACTCTGGAATATCCAAATTCAGCTGTAAGAAGAAACGGGTTTTAAACTCGCTGAATATAAACATAGATGTAACTTCCTAAGGTGAACGAACACACAGCAGAGCAGTCTGAAATATATGTTTCCCCTGTGTTTTAGATGCAGTCTTACTGCGAATTCTTATATGCCTGTATATTCCTGGAAATACCTGCTTGTAGAGTCTCCAAAAAAAGGGTTTCTGAACTGCTACATACACACGAGTTTAACTGCGTAAGTTGAATGTGCACCTTGACAACCATTCTGCCAGATCGCTCTTTTTTGTTTTAGAGCCAGATATTTCTCATTTTAGCGTATACTCCCATTCACTCTGGAATACCCAAACGCAGCTTTTAGAAGAAACGTGTTTCTAACTCGCTGAATCTAAACCTAGATGCATCTTCCTAAGGTGAATGAACACACAGCAGAGCAGTTTGAAAGATATCTTTCTCCTGTGTTTTAGACACTGCCTTACTGATCATTCTTATATGCTTGCATATTGCTGGAAATGTCTGTTTCTAGATTCTCCAAACTCAGGGTTTCGAAACTGCTGCATAAACACATCAGTTTATCTCGGTAAGTTGAATGTACACCTTGACAACCATTCTCTTAGATAGCTCCGTTTTTCTTTTTTTCTTTTTTTCTTTTTTTTTTTGGAGCCAGGTATTTGTAACTACAGCCGATACTCCCATTCACTCTGGAATATCCAAACACAGCTTTTAGAAGAAACGTGTTTATAACTCGCTGAATCTAAACATAGATGCAACATCCTAAGGTCAATGAACACACAGCAGAGCAGTTTGAGAGATATGTTTCTTCAGTGTTTTAGACGCAGTGTTTCTGGTACTTCTTATATGCCTGTATATGGGTGGAAATATCAGTTTCTAGATTCTTCAAAGAAAGGTTTTCTGAACTGCTGCATACACGCATCTGTTTAACTCTGTAAGATGAATGTACATCTTGGCAACCATTCTGCTAGATAGTTCCGTTTTGGTTTTAGAGCCAGATATTTCTCATTAAATCCTATACCCCCATTCACTCTGGAATATCCAAATGCAGCTTTTAGAAGAAACGTGTTTCTAACTTCCTTAATCTAAACATGGATTCAACATCCTAAGGTGAACAAACACACAGCAGGGCAGTTTGAAATTTACGTTTCTCCTGTGTTTTAGACGCAATGTTACTGCTACTTCTTATATGCCTGTATATGGCTGGAAATATGTGTTTCTTGATTTTCCAAAGAAAGGGTTTATGAACTGCTGCACACACACATCAGTTTAACTCTGTAAGTTGATTATACACCTTGACAACCATCCTGCTAGATAGCTTCGTTTTTGTTTTAGATCCAGATATTTCTCAGTACAGCCTATACTCACATTCACTCGAATATCCAAACGCAGCTTTTAGAAGAAACGTGTTTCTAACTCGTAGAATCTAAACATAGATGCAGCTTCCTAAGGTGAAGGGCCACTCAGCAGAGCAGTTTGACAGATACATTTCTCCTGTGTTTTAGACGCAGTCTTACTGCTAATTCTTATATTCCAGTATATGGTTGGAAATAACTGTTTCTAGATATTTCCAAAAAAACAGAAACACAGATGTACAAACATGCACACACACTGACACACGCACACACACACACACACAAACACACACACATAGGCTTCACACACAACTCGTAGTGTCCAGCCAAATACATAATACTATGAGGTGGGGTTTGAACTTATGTATGCTTCAAAGGAAGAGACACCTTTCCCTAATTCACATGTCCATTCTCCCTCCTTCTCCCCAAATGCTGCCTCTTCCTTTAACCCACACATTATTACCTAGAACAAAATTAGTCATGGCTATCAGGTTAAAGCATTGTCAGTGATGCTCTCATTAAAAACAACAACACAGTCAAACAGAGAGCATGCTTGCATATGAAATGTGATTAATTCTTTCAGACATGGCTCATGATGACTGGGACGACACAACCAGGAGAAGCTCTGCCTTGCAACAAGCCTAGCTATGTGCCTGGCCACCGCCCAAAGTGCTTCACACTCTCATTTCACCCTCAGACACAGGCAAATGGACTGCAAAGGACTCATGTGTCTCCATGCTGTCTGAAGAGGACTCCCATTTCCCCTGGGGAGCAAAAGTAGCAAGGAAAGTAGTTTTCATTTGTAGAGCACACACCTTTTTCAAAACACACAGCTAAAACGGTCCCTGCTTTAAGTGCTAAAACACTTGGAGCAGAGAACGTTTTAGCAGTGTATTCTGAAAAACTTGTCTAGCACTTAAAGCATGGACCATTTTAGGTGTGTATTTTCAAAAATTTATCTCTAAGTGCCATACCTAATGAAGTCAAAATCAGTGATCTGTGTCCACTTGAGTTGAGCATCCTTTTAGTAATAAAGGATTCAGTTACATTGGAATTTTTTAGAACTGATTCTCATTCTTGTCAATCAACTGTCAATTTTCTGTGTTAATTTCTAGCAAATGTAATAGAGTTGATCCAAACCATAGGTGTATTAAAGTCCAGATTGACAACTATACTCAACAAACCAGGCACTGAACTGGAAAAGGTATCATTTTCCAGTAGGCCTTAAGGCCCACAGAAATCCCTGTGCAGAAATCAAGAAACAGAGACAGAAAGTCACCCGCCTAAGGCTTGTCACTTCAAAGTGAGTGGCTGACTGACAGGCAGAGGGCTGGAAATCAAATACAAATTTTTGGACCTCTAATTTCAGAGGGTGCACTGCCTCCCTCAGGCCCAATTTTACTGTTAAATGGTGTAACAAGAGCTTTACTGGAATGAAGTCAACACTAAAGGACGTTAGATTCCATCGGCAGAGTCTTTTGCCCCTTGTCTCTAATGAGAATTTGCCTGCTTCAAATTTTAACATTGGGTCTAACCTGAGATATCTTGCCTTTCCACATGAAACTCTTGAAAAGGCTTGATTAACTTAGGAGTTCCTGCTACAAAGTAAGAGTCAAGAACCCTCTGCAGCAAAAATGAGCTGGCCTCAGTGGTAAATGGGAAGTGAGCTGGTTTCAATCAAAACCATCTCACCAATCATCAAGACAAATTTCTTTAAACATACATATATTGTGTTTTTAGGAGGACCGGGGGTTATCCAAGGTTCTGAGCAACATGCTACCACAGGAAGAAGGATTTGCTGCTCAGGCCTGGAGACAGAAACACAGACATACAAACACACACACACACACACAAACACACACAAACACACAC